CATCCCTGGGAGAGTGGCTCTCCTGATCAATGATATGCACCTCGTGCCGGTGAGAGCCCTGTGGAGTACGTTGGTCTTGATACCACTAGGGGCTAAGCACGTGGAAAAGCACTACTTTGTTCCCAGGCAGGGATTTGAGGGGTTCTGTTCACACCTGGCCCCAAATTCCCTGACCATAATGGCAGTAAATGACAGGGCCAGGGTAGGTTGAAGTCTGCCCCCAAGGACAGAGACTCCAAGCGATTGGATATTCTGGGCAGAAAGATCTATATCTCATCATTCCTACAGATGAGGATCGCAAATCAAGCTTTGCTGTCCAAGTATGATTTCCTCAATTGGTCAGCCGTGTCTGGATTCAAGAACCAGTTGCCCAAGGCCTTGCATGAGGAGTTTCCGGCATTTTTTGAAGAATGCTTATTGGTGGCACACAACACATGCCAATAATTACTAGGAGGCCCCCTTGAGCTGGTTGAGGCCCTAAGCAATTGCTTAAACTGCTTATTCTGAGCACCAGCTCTGGTTCTTGGACAAGACTGATGACACTTTGCATTCCTTTAAGGATTCTGGGGCTACCTTGAGGTCCTTGGGAGGGTGCATGCCATCTGCACAAAGATGCCACTATCGGGCACAGCAGCAGCAACAATATCGCCCACAGCATTTCTTCACACAGCCTTTCCCCCTGAAACAGCAGGATTACCATAGAAAGAGGGATAGATCCCACAAGAGGAATCGGTCAGGCTCTGGCTTTGGACAGTCCACACGCCTTCCCTCAGTGCTAGCTAATCACCCATTTTAACTCCTTAGTCCAGAGCACTGATTCAGTCAATACTCCACCCTCTTTGTCTCTTTAGGGACTGGTTGCCCTGCTTCTGCAGTGCTTGGGACTCAGTTGTCTCCCAACAGCTGGGTCCTAGACGCTGTCAGATCAGACTATGCACCCCACCCCCAAATCCATCTTCAGGGACCCCTCTCACAAGACTCTGCTCATCAAGCAGATCAGCTTTCTGTTGACATTGGGAGTGGTGGAGGAAGTTCCCCTGGAGCACCAGGGCCACAGCGTTTACTTTCAGTACTTCCTGATACCGAAATCCAAGGATGAATGAGATCCATTCTCAACTTTCACGGCCTCAACAAGTGAATCAGTGTGGAAGAAAACTCAGTCTTCACTCTTAGGTTGTTTGCAACAAGTCAGAGACAATTTTATTCATGCAATTGCAGGGAAGACAGCAATTGGACAGAGTGTCTGTCCTTATGCAAATCTTCAAAATACAAAACAATATAAAGCAGTATTTATACCTTTTCATTATATAAAGCTGTGCCTTGTTTATACATTTTTCTTTCTGATATCTTATTTGTTTTCAACATTTCCTGCTAACAATTACATTCCATTGTTATCTCAAGGCAAAGTTAAAAACAGCTTTGCTTGCAGTTTCCCATACGCTTCACCAGTCCTGCCTCTACAAATCTTTCGTTATTATGGTTCTGTGTTAGCCTGACTGTTGCTCTGTCTCTAACAAACTAAGATGGCTGCACTCAAATCCTCTTTTTCCCCTCTTCCTACTTCCACAGCAGATACATGAGATTTTGCATGCTCACTCTCAGCTAAACTCTTCACATGGTCTCAGAATGGCTGATTTGTTACTCTGGAACTTACATTCATGTGGCGATTCGACTGATACAGAGGAAATTTCTGCATTGTGTGGTAGGAGACTGCCACTTTCATTACACTATTGACCCATTCAGCCTCGCTTCTGCCCCCTGAGTCTTCACCAAATGCATTGTGGTGTCATGGCTTCTCTCAGGAGGAAGGGAATCCACATCCTCCTGTACCTCGATGACTGGTTGCTGAAGGGTGGCCCCAGAGAGGAGGTTCTCACCCATGTCAACACCACATTGCATTTGCTTGACCGTCTGTGACTGACTTTAAACACCACGAAGACAATCACGGTTCCCACTCAAAAAAAAAAAAAAAATTGAGTTAATTAGACCCTGTTAGTTTCCACGAGGTAAAGGGTGTTCCTGCTGGCCTTCCGCTTCCAAGCAATTCAACAGCTCTGCCTCAGTCTATAATCTTGGCCTTCCACGACTGTCTGTGTGTGTCTGAGCATGTTGAGTCATGTGCCCGCTTACATGCAACTCATCCAGTTGGGTAAGCTGTGCCTTCGCCCTCTTCAGATGTACCTAAGGATGGTCTGCTACCCTGCCTTGCGTTCTCTGAACAGATTGATTTGCCTTTCTCCACCAGTCCCAGATTTCTTGTGCTCTTGGGAGTCACTACACAGTGTGTGCCAAGGAGTCCCTTTCACTTGGCCCTCTCAGACCAAGTCATTGGTTACCGACGCTTCCCTTCTGAGTTGGGGAGTACATCTGGATTAATTGAGGGTGCAGTGCCAGTGGTTGGAACAGGAAGCCTTACTCCATGTCAATTTGTTGGAACTTTGGGCCATCCACAATGCATGTCTTGTCTTCTGGGACTGCATCAGACACTCAATGGTTCACATGCTCACTGACAATACCACCGCGATGTACTGTGTGAACAAACAAGGGGAAGCACATTCCAGGTTACTCTGCCTGGAGGCGATCAACCTGTGGCAATTTTGCATTGAAGACATCACTCCAGTAGCAGTCCACTTGCAGGGGGTGCATAGAAGTCTCACAGACCATCTCAGCAGGCTTTTCTTCCTGAGCCACAAGTGGTCCATGAAGGAGACTGTCCTCCAGGTCGTCATTGGAACAGGGGATATCCTCGCGATTGACCTGTTTGTGATGAGGGAAAACAGAAAGTGTCGACTATTCTGTTCTTGAGGGGGCCTCAGCCTGGGCTCCCTCTCTGACGCCTTCCACTGCAGCTGGCAGTCAACTCTTTTGTATGCCGTTCCACCTATTCCGATCATTCCTCATGTCATCCACAAACTCAAGGCAGATTGGGCCAAGCGTCCTCATTGCTCCTGCATGGCAGAGACAGTCCTGGTTCTCAGATCTCCTTGCTCTGTCAATTCAGCCTCCCATACTGCTTCCTTTCCATCCCAACCTGCTCACTTAGCACCATGGCTGCACCCTGCATCCTGCTATACTGAATGAAGAGAAAGAGCAATGCTCAGAGGCTGTCCAACAAGTCCTGCTCAACAGTAGGAAGTCCTCCACTAGGATGGCATACTTAAAGGGAAGAGGTTCTTGATGTGGTCCTTGGCCTGCAGGACCCAACTGACAGGGGCTTCCATCCAGGGCATCTGTGAGTACCTGTTATATCGTCAGAAATCCGGCCTTGCCCTCCGTTCGCTAAGTACATTTGGCAGCAGTATCAGCATTTTTTTTTCCAATGCCATGGTGATGAGATTTCTGAAAGGGCTTCTCCGCTTACATCCTCGGATCCAAGTACTGGTTCCTCTTTGGGACCTAACTATGGTTCTGGTTGTTCTAATGGGCTCTCCATTTGAACCCCTTGCGTCTTGTCCACTGCCCCTCCTGTCTCAGCAAACTGTGTTCCTGATAGCTTTCACTTCTGCAAGAAGGGTGTGAGTTACAGGCCCTTATGGCTGAGCCACCTTACACTCAGTTCTCCAAGGATGAGGTGATGCTGCGACCACACCTAAAGTTTTTGTCCAAGGTGGTCTCTGTTTCTTCTGAATTAGGCAGTGCAGTTACCCGTGTTTTTCCATAAGCCACACGCTTCCCTGGAGAAACGGCGTCTCCATACCCTGGATGTCAGGTCATATCTAGCCTTTTACCTGGACAGGACTAAGCCATTTGTGCTTCATCTCGCATGTTCGTGTCATATGCAGACTGCATGAAGGGGCAAGCAGTCTCTGCACAGACCATCTCTAGATGGATAACATCCTGTATCAAGACTATGTATGAGATAGCTTTGACTATGCCTCCTCAGTGGATACAGGCTCACTGCACGAGGGTGCAAGCGACATCGATAGCATGCCTCAGTGACGTGTCCTCACTGGACTTTTGGAAAGTGGCCACAAGGTCATGTACGATTATGGACTATTATGCTATTACCGCATCTTCCTGAGCAGATGCAGGCCTCAGAAGAACGGTCCTGTGATCTCTATTCCAGTAAACTCTGAGCCCTGCCTACAGATTGTGGTACTGCTTATGAGTCACCTAACTGGAATACACATCTGCATCTACTCGAAGAAGAAGAAACAGTTACTTACCGTAACTCTGGTTCTTCAAGGTATGATGAGAACATGTATTCCATGACCCACCCTCTGTCCCCTCTGCATTGGAGTCGCCTCTCATGGGATTTCATTATGAAGGGATTGAGTGGTGTGACGGTGGCGCCACTCATATAGCCAAGGGAGGAGCCATAAGACACAAGCACTGCCCCTCTACAGGTACTGCTAGCAAAAACCTCTGGCTTCAATGCACTGGGAGTGCACACACCTAACTAGAGTACATGTCCGCATCACGTTTCGGAGAACCACAGCTGCAGTAAGTAACTGTTTTCTTAAAGGGACCGTCAGCTCTAGGTTATTGTAAATGTGTCAATTTCAGAATATTTGTTTCTGATAGATTACACTTTCTAATTAAACAGTAGGTCTTGGGGTTTATTCTGAAATTGATTTTAAAATATAGTGCTTTCTCTTTCTCAAAAGGGTGCTTTCTGTCCCCTTTGGCGCTTGATAGAGAAACTGATAACAGGGAAACAGTGAAACTGACTGTGCACAAAATAAACTGGAAAAAAAATAAGCAAGATGTTGCTAGCTTTCAGTTATAGAACTATTTAATGTTTCTTATAAATTTTGTACCAACAATGCTTTTAGACGGAAGTGTGATCTTTCACGTTTACAGTGTCCCTCCCTTTAAGTGTTTTCAAGAGTATGATAAAGTTGTTCCTTTATGAATGCACTGCCAGGGAAACAAGGATTCCTTGGACATCAAACACTGCAGAACAATCTTAACATTAACTGTTTCTGTGAATTATGATTATATTTGCAATTCAACTGTGCAGCTTGGCTGCAAAATAATGTTCCTATATATGTCTTCAGGTATTGCAAACAACACTGGAGGGATTACCTTGATTCCCGTTTCAGTGAATTTATCTCAGCAGTCTAAAGTGGAGAGTCATGGACAAGTACCTCTCACTGCTCAAGCTTTAACTGGTGCATCTCCAAACCATTCCCGTATGAATCAAGCACAGGAAGCACATCAGTCGGCAGGAAGCAAACCAAAGAAAACTGGCTCTATGGCACTGTTTTACAGAAAGGTAAATATCTTGGCTAAGAGTTGCTTTGTATTAAATGTTTTTCTCTTTTTTCGAGAGACAAGGTGGGTGAGGTAATCTTTTATTGACCAAGTGCTCAAGTGTTTTGTTAATGCTTGATTATATTTAAATTTGTCTGTCTCTCAGCAAACTGTTCCATTATACTCCTGTGTTATTCAATTACTTTTCCTCTGGCACTAATAAAGGCACCTGTGCCAGAAAATGCTTTAAAATCCTATTACTAAAAAATTGCTTTTCAGATCCACTAATTTGGGCCAGATGTGTTGTTCTCTAATCTCCTTGGTTGACAGGCAGCATCTCCAATAGCTAGCCACAAATTGTTAGTGCTTTCTGGTTCTTTATTCCTGCTCTTGTTTTCTCCCAGCTCTGCTGAGGGTGCAGATAGCTATACTAGCTCCAACTCCTTAGTGCTTTGACAGAAATTCTCAGAGAGAGGAGATAACGCACATAGACCCTGTAGGCTGGGGTAAGGCCTCAAAAAAGGGTGTTTTGTCTTCTAAATCTCTCTGAGCTCTTTCTTTTCTAATGGGTTTTGAACTAGGACTTGGGAAACTTTCCTCATCCCTCTCTTAGATGCATGGATTAGACATGCTGAAGGGAAGACTGTCTTCCTGTAATTGACTAGTGTTCAGACACGCTCAGCCCTGGTCTACACTAGGACTTTAGGTCGAATTTAGCAGCGTTAAATCGATGTAAACCTGCACCCGTCCACACGATGAAGCTCTTTTTTTTCGACTTAAAGGGCTCTTAAAATCGATTTCCTTACTCTACCCCTGACAAGTGGATTAGCGCTTAAATCGGCCTTGCCGGGTCGAATTTGGGGTACTGTGGACACAATTCGACGGTATTGGCCTCCGGGAGCTATCCCAGAGTGCTCCATTGTGACCGCTCTGGACAGCACTCTCAAATCAGAGGCACTGGCCAGGTAGACAGGAAAAGAACCACGAACTTTTGAATCTCATTTCCGGAGACTGCGGGAACTGTGGGATAGCTACCCACAGTGCAACACTCCGGAAGTCGATGCTTGCCACGGTACTGTGGAAGCACTCCGCCGAGTTAATGCACTTAGAGCATTTTCTGTGGGGACACACACACTCGAATATATAAAACCGATTTCTAAAAAAACGACTTCTATAAATTCGACCTAATTTCGTAGTGTAGACGTACCCTCAGACACACTCTTATTTCAGCTTCTCCTGTCTCTGAAAATTCCATTCTGTCATCTCTTCTATTGGAAGTAACATCTGTTTCCTGGACCCACTGACCCGTCCAGAATTGGCTGCTTATGTGGGGCTTCACAAAGCTGTGTTGGATACTTAAGCCCTCTGGGACAATATTCAGAAAGAGGAATAACATGCTTGCTTACCAGAGGAAGGAAGGAATTTGAGGGATGAATAAGCATGAATAACTTATAGGAGTTTTGCTGCCTTTCTCTTGCATTTTCATTTTAGAGAGAGACAAGGTGAGGGAGGATTTCTTTATCCATAAACATGAGCAAACCCCCTGAGTATACCTGATTAGATCAGTCTTAATCTGCCTTCCAAAAACTTAAATCATAGTACCTGCACTATTTGTATGCTTCCCTGTTGGAGTTTTCTTGCTTCTTTATTTAATTGTATTCCTGGTGGCCATAGTTTCAGCTAGCAACACTAGCAGTGAGCGATTCATTCATTGGAGTGCTTTGTTACAGAGAGAGAAAATAAAACTTATTCTTAGAGATTCTGATTTCTCTTAGGATCTCACAGGCAGAATGGAGTTTGGTTCTCTGCTTTCAATCAAACAACTGCTATCCCCACCTCTTGTCTGAGGAGGGATGAGAATTAAGTTGGTCCAAATTAATGTCCAACCAACGTGCAAGCTTAATTTTCAATCATACAGTGGTTTTATGCATCTTTATCTGCTTTCACTGTGTGCTTGGAAAATTATGTAATAAGCAAAACTACTGTTCCCTGTTGCTAGGAAAGTTAAAATCCAGGCTTCTGATGAAACCCCATCTTTAAGGGAGTTTTGACCTTTTGGTTACAGGTTACGAACTCAAACCCTTGTGCACAAAAGGATATTCTTCTCTTCTGCCTGTCTTGTGGAACTTTTCAATAGAGCAGATCATTAAAAGGCTTCTTTTTTTACTTCCAGACATAAATGCCTTTGTGTTCTTAGTTCTCATAGTGGGGGGAAAGAACTTCTACAGTTAATGAAAGACTGTTAATCATGTTGCACTTGTCAAGGTCATCTCGGGTTTTCATCTGAATGAGGTGTTTTTAAAAAGAAACCTGATAAATACTGTGTAGGTTAATCTCCTTGGGTGTAAGTAAAGTATATGACCTCTTCAAACTTCCTGCTCATCTGAGGGGTCCCAAGGTATGTGGTCAGGTAGATGGAGTAGTTAGGTACAATGCTTGTCAAATTATACTGGCCAGATGGATCAAACTTTGTATTTCTGAAGCCTGTAAGGCAGAGATGACAACTCAGTATTTGAGTACATTCTCCCATGCAGAACCCCTTGCAGAGATTGGTAAGATGGCAGCTTCGGTACATTTAACATTTTTTATTAGAGTAGCTTTTAGTTGATGGATTCTCATTTTTAACCACTCTCGAATTTGGTCTCTGTATGAAGGGATTGCTACATAGATCCTGTCAGTTCTGGACTTATGAATTTGAACATGCAGAAAGTAGGGTTTTACCTGTAGATTTTTGAATTTCAAATATAGGAATGGAAGTTTTCTATTCTAGTTTCTGGTTGCTAAGAGACAAGAAAACTAGTGGAGTGGGAGCTAGACATCTCTTCTGTGTTGTGAAGGCAAATTGCTTCTGGTTAAGGAAATGGTATTTTGCTAAGTAGGATTCTGATTTGTTGTTTTCCTTGCTTTAACATTTTGAATGTTTGTGTTTGATGCTGTGGAGGATTTGTCTGGAACTAGAAAACAAAGAGCTGGAATTGGGATCCAAAAGGTGCTTAACTGACAGGTAGCAGCACTTATCTAGCTAGACAATCATGGAGTTGGAGTACATACAGTCCAACCATCTCAAATCGCTGTTTCTGAGATGCAGAAACATGTACAGGTAAAAAAAAAATTGCTTTCTGGAATTCTTCCCTTTAATTGCTAGCATGCTTTGTTGTTTTAAGACTCACAATTGTGATAAAACTAGATTTCAAGATTCAGTTGGCTTCACTCTCTGTTGTGCTGTTTTCCATCCCAGGTGTATCATTTGGCAAGTGTGCGCTTGCGTGATTTGTGCTTAAAACTGGATGTTTCCATTGAGTTGCGCAGGAAGATATGGACATGTTTTGAGTTCACATTAGTTCATTGCACTGATCTAATGAAAGACAGACATTTGGATCAGCTCCTCCTTTGTGCCTTTTACATTATGGCAAAGGTAACGTACAGATTTTAGGAAGTATTATATCTTAAGCTATTTCCAGGAAGTAAATAAAATAAACTGCAAATCTACTATCCAATTGTTTTACTTTTGATATCTTACTGGGGAGGGGAGGTGCTTCCAAGATGTTGATGAAGCCCTGAAGTCTTCTTTTCCTTTGCTTTACATATCCTCCCTCAAGGTCCTATATCAACAATCCTTTTGACTCAGGACTGGATGGTACTCCTTTTTTTGAGCCCCTTCACACTGTTCCGTTGTCAGCTAGAAAGGACATAGTTATAGTCTGTCTCCAGAAGGGATTGCCTCACATTGCTTATCTTTGGTGCTCTGCCTGCACCCCTGCTGGTCTATGAAGTGAGAAACTATGACTAGAAATAGTTTTGTGCATCTGTGTAGTTATGCAGAGCACTAACTAAAAGGCTGCTGGGGCTTGCACCTCCATGGAATATTGCTTTATATATCCACACTTCACTTTTTTCAGAAAAACAATTCTTTTAGCAATTGCATACACAGGATATTAAGTTTGAGGAACCTAGCTAAGAGTCTATCTTAGCAATATAATGTTTTGCTAAGAAATAAAAAGGGATGTGCAAGCTTGTTCACATTATGTTTTGAGGTGCTATAAACAGCCCAACTTATCACACAAATGGGAGTTTTGTAATCTTACTTCTGACTGACGCAAACTCAGGGAAAAAATAAAACAAAACACAGAACTCAAACTAGGCAAAGTGCCAATGTAATTATTTGTATTACTGTAGCACCTGGGAGCCGTAGTATGAACCAGGACTCCATTGTGCTGAATGGGATGAAAATATTAAATTGATTTGCCCAATGAGCCCTTAATAGGAAAGACAAAATAAGAAGAGGTATTACCTGTGGAATGAAGCTGCTATGGAATACAATTACCTGTTTATACATTTAGTAATTGTAAGCAATCCTTAAATCTTAGTTTAGACACTGCTACAAGGTTTGCAGAAAAATACCACCATTGAATGATCTCTGTGTTCCCTTGTCTTACTGAGTAGGTGTGCCAGCTGCATGATTCCTGCCTTTCTCTGAAGTGTTGCCTCCAGTGCAATGAGACCGGACAGCCCAACTGCAGCAAGTGGACCTTGATACATTTTTCTTGTAGTTCCACTGCAAAACTGTTGATCATTTGCTATTACAATTGGTGATTCATGTCATTTACCTTGAAACAGAGCTGACTGTGTGTGTCCTTGTAACCTTGCATCTTGTTCCAGAAAATAAGGAAGATACCTGTAACAAAGGATAAGAAATCCAATTTTCAAATATCACTAAAATTTTTACTTACCCACTAAGACTTAATAATTGTTCTCTTTTTCAATTCAGGGGTAGCTTCTGAAGGGGAAGGGGAAGAATTAATTTTTAAGCTTCAGCTTAAGGGAGCAGTAATTTTACAAGTGTAGATGAGCAGCAGGAATTGTTAACAAAAAACTGTTCTCATGTTGTCATATTCAGATGTCAGAATACTACATTTTTAAATGTATAAGTTCAAGCTATATATAATGCTCATGAAAAATGTACAGTATGGATTTGAAATCAAATGTACAAAGCATATTTCTGAAACATGCAACATCACAGCAAAACTACACAAATTGAGTTATACAAGAATAAAGCATGTTGGCATCAAACATGTTGATCTTTTTCTCTCCTGCTGAAGTAAGGCTAATTTCTTGTAGGATCTGCTTTCCCATCCTCCCCTATTTAGAAGTTATATTGTGTATGGGCTGGAAAGTGAGGGCTTAGGGTGGGCTGGCTTCTGTTCCCACTACTATGAAGCCCTACATAACCCCAAAGTCTTTCAACATGCTAAGAGTTCTTGAATGTGGCACAGTTTTCCCTTTCTCTGTAATGGAAAGGAAAGTTGGAGCAGGCTGTTCATTAAACTAAAGATCACCTTGTTGTAGGCCAGAAAAAATACATGAGTTATTCCTACTCTGATATATCATTTACTTTTCTTAGCTTCTTACTTTTTTCAGACTAAATGAGATCAAGAAAACTCCGGAAAATTTCCCTTTTAAACAAGCATAAGTACTCATGTGCTGTAATATAACAATCATAGTTGCTATGTTTTGTCTTAAATAGTTCCTCTTGGGTTTTTTTTCTTTTCCAGGTTTCAGAGTAGCAGCCGTGTTAGTCTGTATTCGCAAAAAGAAAAGGAGTACTTATATGAGTACTCTTATTTGAGCTTATGCTCAAATAAATTTGTTAGTCTCTAAGGTGCCACAAGTACTCCTTTTCTTTTTTCTTTTCCAGGTGACCAAAGAAGAAAGAACTTTTCAGGACATAATGAAAAGCTACAGAAACCAGCCACAAGCAAACAGCAATGTGAGTAAATAACAGTGTCTTCCCTGTAGATAAATGTTTGATACAAGCTCTCTTTCAAGTAGGCTCATACTAATACTGGAGAATGAATGTTACACGCATTTAACCTGAGAACTGTGATTTAATCTAAGTTTGAGTTTCTTGTATTACTTGACAACTGCATTTTTCCCCATGTACTGCAGGTTTACAGGAGTGTTTTGCTGAAAAATAGTCCCAAAGAGGTCACATCAGAAAATACAAATTCAAACCAAGATGTGGAGATGACAGGTGGTGGTAAGTTTTAGAGTAGCAGCCGTGTTAGTCTGTATCCGCAAAAAGAAAAGGAGTACTTGTGGCACCTTAGAGACTAACAAATTTATTTGAGCGTAGGCTTTTGTGAGCTACAGATCACTTCATCAGATGCATGCCATGGTGGTAAGTTCATAAAGTTAACCTGCTGTTTTTAAAATAACAGTCAAATGGATTTAAAAGAACTAATGTGTAGTATAAAATCCATTAGAATAGTTGCATCTAATTGCAAAGAGAAAAAATAGCATTTCATTTTATCATAAGCTGATTAAAAAGCAACAGTACTGACATAAGGAGACAGACACTGATAGTCTGATGCTGTGTAGGCTAGGACATGGAAAATGCATTTCACAATTGGAACAAATAGGATAGAACTTCACAAATGCTTTAAGAATCCCTATTTTTAAATTAGGTTGGTTGAACCGTAATTTTTTTAAATGAGCAACTGATGATGATTCTATATAAGTGCAGCTCTCTTGAGATAACAATAGATGGAAAGAGAGTGAGTGATGGGATATTCTAAAGACTGATTAGAAACATCTTTTTAAAATGTCAGAAGGTAGATTGGTTTGATTCACTTCTTCGGGAAGGCTCAATGAGGAGCTCTTGCATTGAAATACTTACTGTCCTGACGTAGACAGGAGTCAGGATTGGCTTTAGTATGTCTGCTGTTTTGATTTTTGCGAAGAGTGTGGGTAAATGTCTATATTTTTTCTTAAAGCATTTTTCTTTCTCCAAAATCCAAGATAGATTTTTCAAAGCGATGCTATGTAAATTGGTTTCTGCTGCTACACAGTTGATCAAAATAAGGCATTAACTATTACAAACCATAAAAGTGATCAACAGAAGTCTAATTTATCCAGAAAAGTTATCCTTAGTTGGTCTATACCTCATATAATCATCTTGGGGTCTCTGTTATCTTGTCAGTGAGAGACATTGATCCACTGACCTCAGAGGACTCTCTCTCAACATCAGCTCAGCAAGCTAGAGTTACCTCATAGAAGTCCTAGGCTTTACATGACAGCAGCATACTACAGCTGTTGACCAGTAATTTCAAAGAGAACAATGTCTTGACATTAGCCCAGCAAGTTAGAGATGCGGTCTCTAACATTATTTAAATAAAAAGCGAGGTGATCTCGGTTCTCTTGCCCCTATGGTGGATTAATTTAAATCAAAATTATTTAAATCAGTAAACAGGAAATCTTTAAATAATCAATTTGAATCTTGTTTTGTATTTGTACTTTATAATTACTTTCCTAAAGAAAGGTTGATTCCCATTAAAACATGTTGATTTGCAACTAAATATAGCCTTTACTCTGTATTTGATGGTACTTTTTACTCACCAGGAGGATACGTTCTATTTATACACACTTACTTAAGCAGTTATTTAGCTTAATATACGTTCATTCAGATTCTTAAGTTTTACTTTTTTATTGTTAGAAAATGGTGAATGATGCATTTCTTTATTAGATTAGATTTTTTCGCTTGTCATGTGTGTCAAGTTGCATTTGGATAGAAACCGGAATTCAATTAAAGTGCACAAAACCAGCATTTTAAAAATGTTTTCTAAATAAATATAACCTACCTTAAAGTGTTGGACACATAAGAAGAAAAATATTTATCAAAACATGTTTTGTATTTAAAGCTAACTGATATATTAAACAGAGGAAGTATTATCTATCGTTAGAATTGAACTGATTGCTTCTAGTTACCATGTCCTTCAAGATCTTAGAACTAGTAGGTCACATCCTCTTATACCTCATTTATATTTATAGATTGGAAGAGGGAAACAAGCTTTCCTTCTTTTTTTCAACTTCCAATAAGTTTTTGAACTCTGAATGAACTAATCATTGAACTGAATTAGTTTGAATAAACAGAAATTAAGAAAATAGTTTCTCTGCACCTACAGGAGGCTACTGATCTGCAAAGCTCTGGTTCTAGGAGTTTAGCCAGTGACTTTCATCAGTTTAGGGCATTTGGCTTTCTTTAAAACCTTGGCAGCAAACATACTGCTTGAATATTATTATTTGAATTATTTTAATAGATTATAGGAAATTTGAGCTTTAATATAGGTTATCATAGTTTCAAATTTGATTTCAGATTGGTTTATTTTTAAAAAGAAAAATGTATTAAATCAATTTTATAAAAATTTTAAAGTCTTTTTTTAATTTTTTTTTAAATACCGATTTTTATCCACCCCAGTCTTCCTCCAATATCAGAACAGCAAACTTGAGTTGTTAACAGTAAGTTCAAATGCCCTTGTTCTGACATCAGCCAACCAAGAGGTTCTAAGCCAGGAGAGTTGTTTGATCTTTTAGCCAGTTTTCAAACCGTGTGACAGTATTTCTGTCCAAGTGCATGTGAACGAATTTTTCACTTAAATCACCACTTCAGTGCCTTTTATCTAATATCAACATTAGTTAAATCTTAACCCCCTGTTGATGGGAAGAGAAGTCGTGACTTCCCAATTGTCACAAAGCAGGTTAGTGGTAGAGCGGGGAATGGAGCTTCTTTGTCCTGACTCTAGTTTTTGTACTCACTCCTGTTCCGGCATAAGGTGTCTTAGTATCAGACCCTAGGTTTATGTTTTATTAAGGTGCTTGGCTAACATCCAGTTACTTCCATGAAAAGAGTTTTTGTTAGCAAACAATTTAGAGATTAACATGACTTCTATTAGAAGACTGTATTCAGCTGTGAACCAAGTTAATTTTGGAGTTAGCAAGTGATAGAACAGTTGCAGTAACCAGGCTTGCTGTGTAACTACCACTGTTTCCATTGAATATTACGTTGTATACATAATGAACAATATTCCAGAATCATTTTTTTTACAGTGGAGGCATGAGTCAAGTATTGAGCCTTACTCTGTCAGTTAATCCAGTATAAAAGTGCCTTTTAACTAAAGATTGGCAGTTAAATCAGGCTTCACAAATTGTATAGTCTGTCATGGGTTTTCGTAAAACATGGTGTGTGCTACAGTAATTAAAGCAGATCTTTATCACAACCTTGCGATTCTGACCACCATAAAAAGAGTGATCTTGGTCAATGGTAGCTTTATTATTGCTGTCTCTGGACTGAAGCCTCAGCAATATACATGTGTGTCTAAGCAAGCCGGTCTTTCCTCTCTCATTCACAAGAATTGTAACTCATTAAAAGAAGAAATAACATGTTTGTGGGAAAGGCAGTGTGGTCACACCTTATATTTTCAGGTTCCATTTATAAATAGTTGATAAGGATTTGATAAATGGTGGATGGTGGGTTTTTTTTAAAAAGAAAGTTTTTGTTATAGCCTGTTACAGAGTACAACAAGTCAATAGGTTGTTCAACACCTTCTACTAATGTGCTTGTAACCATTTGTAATTCACACTACTCATATCTATAACAAACTTGTAACATCTGTTCTTCTTCAGGGAGTGTTCCCGTGGGTCCTCCGCTTTAGATGTCTATGCACTCTGCGCTTGTAATCAGAGATTTGTGGTAGCCATGACCAGTTGGGTCATTCACGCTCCGTCACTGTCTTGCACTGTCCCTCAATTCCTTCTCTACCACCTTTGGCTTGAGTCGGAGCAATCAGCAGCACCCTCACTTACCTTTACATAAGATTAGCCTTTAGATAAGATAGTTTATAGTTGGTAGTATACTCAGTAGTTAGATAGTTTACCTTTTATACTTATTTTATTTATTTTATTTAAAAAAAATTTTTTTTTGCTTTTCTACCCTTATTCCCCTCAGTAGGCAAATAAGTTTTGGCTCCCACAGAGTTACTGCTCCCTTCTTGTTTGAGATAGCCTCTCTCCGGCATGCCTGGATCACCGGGTTTCAAACGCTGCCTGACTTGCAGAGTGTCAGTCCCTGTCTCTGACGGACACACACAGTGTGTCCACTGTCTCAGCGACACACACATTCCTCAAAAATGTCCACATCTAAGTTCCCTCTAAGCTGCATAGCTGGGTGGCTGCCCAGCAAGCTATCAAGTACTGCGCGCTTCAGGTTTCCCACTACCATGCTGCTCCTGCCATCTGCCTTGGAGCTGCTCCCAGGAGCCTCCTGCTTGCTATGCAGAGCTGGGGGAAGGGGGGCGCTGATGTCAGGATGTCCCCCTTCCCCCGCTCCATACCCTATCTCTGCAGAGCGGGACAGTGTGATAGGGCTCAGGAATGGCACAGTGGGAGCTTGCTGCTATGTCTGCTTTGAGTGCCGATCTACTTAAAAGGGCAACATACAGCAGCAAATCATAGGGCTAAAAAGAAACAGTAGCTCTCAGGATTTTAGTGAGGCTACACCATTTGGGCTGCTCTCATTAGAAATTCTGTACTTTAATTAAAACAATCCCTGAGTTTCTAGCTTTTTTCCATTGTGAATATAGAGTCATAGCACTGTAAATTGCTGTGTAAACACTAGAATGACAGTAACCTCCACAGAGCTGCCCCTGGTGGAGAAAGAGGGCTGGGTCTTCTGTAGAATAAGAAAAGGGGGGGGGGGGCTTTCAATGAAGAATGCAGCTTGGGAGATGTGTTCTCCCATGCTGGAGACATGTTGCCCAGATTGGGGCAATGGCCTATTGGGGCAATGGCCTGATTTCTCAGCGCGCAGCAGGGTGGATAAAAATCAATTATTATTTTTTTAAAAAAAATTAAAAATGGATTTTTTCATAAAATGATTTTTGAGGAAAAAACCTATCCTAGGATAGTTTTAATTAAGATACATTGTAGCTCAAAGATATTTCCTCATGGAATAGGGATTATAAATTTTAATTCTATAGTATGAGACAATATATTCATGTAATGTTTAAGAATAAGTTTTGTAAATGAGTTCCAATAGTTCATAGATTAGGGACCCAATCTTATGGGGTCCAGGGGCTTCTGTATAGATTATTTAGGTTAATCTTTCTGTCTACCCAATGGGACTCAGTTCTCAGTCTAGAAGATACCATCAGAGATGCTTAGTTTTGCAGTTCTCAAACTGTGGATTTGTGTCTCCAGAGATAACATGCTTGTTAACAGCAAAAATGGTGGTTTTTAAAAAAAAAGTTTAAAAAATATTTTTAAAATATTTCATTTAAAAAACTTGAATGTTTAACTGAATTACAACATGCATATGCTTGTTTTGTTAAAATATTATATGTTTGCTGTTGAAGAAAAAATCCAGAATACATAACGTTGTTGTTGTTTTAGTTAAATAAAACAATTCAAATGTCTGTCTGGTGATGTTCTCCTCTTAATTCAGCATGGCAAGAAAATCCTCCAAATATTAATGATTAACCTGTGGAATTGGAGATAGTTCACCTCCCAATGACTTCATAAATATCTGCTTCAGTTACCTTTGGTAAATTAAATAAGCAAACAATCATTCTTTTCTGATATAGCTATAAAACTAATCTGAAAAGTTTTCAAAATAAATCACTTTAAAAATGTATAGTGTGTACCTTCTAAAAATGAAACCTACATCTATCTCTGAGTTGTAAAGAATATGTATTAAGGTTATAACAACCAACAAGAATGCACTTTTATGTAGAAATCCATGATTAAATTGAGTCTTCCTGACTAGTGATTTAAATCAAATTGATTTATCAAATCCACCCTGGCGCGCAGCTCCATGTCAGAGCTGTCAGCCAGGACACCACACTTTGGTATACAGATACTTTTAAGTTTTAGTCCCCTGACTATAACTCAGAATGGGAGAAAGCTGCTCCACTTCTCTCAGATCTCAAGGAGATGCTGTATATACACACTTCTTTCTCGATACCATCTTCCTGTGCCCTTGTGTACACACTAGCGCTTTAAGGAAAAGCATCATATAGCGTTAGAGTTAGCAATATTGATTGCCTGAAGGATGCCCCAGGGTAGCTGCAGTCCACTGGGGAGTCCTGCCAGGCTGTGAATGTACTTAAAGGGGCAACACATTTCTTGTTTTTCACATTCACCTCCCAGCACACACTTGCTGTTGTTACTTGATGCTTCCTGCAATGCACATATATTCTCTGTAATTTTATCCTTTCAAAGTGTTGTTATTTGAGTTTTTTGACTGTTCTATGCATTTCATAATTTGTATTTCTCTCTTATGCTTCAATTAAATTCTTTGAGTAGTGAGTTCTAAAATGCCTAACCTGTCCTGGCTGAAGTAATTATCCCTATTGTAACTTTTTAAAAATATAAATTATATTTAAGATTTTTGTTTCTACTGGTGGCGCACATCCACACATTACCTCGATAATTTGGTGCACATAACAAAATTCCTTCTGCAAATGGATGGAAAAAATTAGAGGGAATATTGGTCCACATTGCCATAACCTCATGGCCAGAGCAAGAAAAGCTAGGGATCTCCAACTTAAACTCCTTATGATGGAGAAATCCCTCAGATTGGCCTTGGACCACAAGTCCAGGACACCTCCAGACCAACGTTCACCATTGACAGCCTCTGGCAGAGGTTCTACCCCTGCAGTGCCTATGAAAGAGCCTTTATCCAAGAAGGCTACCAAAAAGCGGTCCCAGACTTCACCACACCAGAAATCAGACAAGAAAAAGTGATCCCCAACTGCAAAGTCTATCTTGGTACCAAGCACGTTGGATCGCAAGACGTCAGTATCTTCTGGTACCGAGAGTTCCTGGAGAGCGAAAGACCCTATGCGCACAAGTTTGAACAAAGGCTCACAGAGCAAAGTGAAACCCTCCATCTGAGTACCCATGGAGCTGAAAAGACGCTTGGCACAGAGTGGCACAGTGGCGCCACCTGTGGTACCTACGCAGCACAGTACAAGACCCTCGGCACCAACGGCTACAACTCACACTCCCATACCACTGGCAATGCTCACAGTGCTCATGGTTCCACACCAATTCCTGAGACATGGAGACCTATTGATCTACTCAACACTGGAATCTCCTCTCTTCAGTACTTATGGCACTCCATCTTGATCAGTACCAAGCCGCTTGACTACTCCAGCTAGGTCAGCTGCCCCTCTGTCTAGTGATAATGAAGACGAGGATGAAGGAGTGATATATACATCTCATTACTCCTCACCCAAACCTGGACCATCCCACGTACCAGACCATCACTCATCTGCAGACACATGTATCTGGTATGGTCACCATCCCCCATGCCATTCTCACCAAACTGGCCCTACTGGGATCCATGGGGAATGTACAGGGCTCAACATTGCAGGCCCCCTAGCCCATCAAGATTGAGAGCTCCATGATCTCTATCACCACCCATCCCAGCACCCTCAGAAACACAAAAGGATGTGACTGAGAAAATGGAGGACATATCTGACCAGAAAGCCTTGCCACCTGTGAACCTCTCATCTTTGTCACCAGATGAAACTATAAAGCCCCTCACCCCCGACCACAGGGGATGACTTCAAGGTATTTCAGGAACAGTTCAAAAGGGTGGCAGAGTCCTTGGACATTTCTCTAGAACAGGTACCTGAATCACAGCACAAACTACTAGACATACTTCAGTCATATCCCTCAACGAAGGTAGCATTACCGATCAACGATGCCATTATGGAGCCTGCCAAAACCATCTGAGAAACATCAGCAACAGCACCCCCATCATGCAAAACATCAGACTATGTGCCATCTAAAGGAATTAAGTTCTTATTTACACACTCCACATCAAACTCACTAGTGGTGAAGGCTGTAAACGAGGGGAAAGCAACACCAGGCTAGAACAACCCCATGTGACAGAGATTGGAGAAGGTTAGACATCTTTGGCCGCAAGGCTTATTCATCTGCAACACTTCAGTTCTGCATAGCTAATTACGAGGCTCTACTGTCTAAATACACACACACACCATCTTTTCGAAAATGTCAGAATTTATTGATGGTTTACCTGAAGATTAAAAAAAAAAAACAGTTAAATCTAATATCGCTGAAGGCCATCTAATTGCCAGCACAGCCCTGCAGGCCTCACTTGAGTCCACAGAATGGCCGCACGATCCATTGCAACATCTGTGGTCATGCACTGTGCATCATGGCTTCATCTCTCTGGGTTCCCCAGGGAGGTTGAGTCAACAGTCGAGGACCTACCCTTCAAAGGCCCAGAATTATTTGTGGCCAAAACGGATGAGTCCCTCCACATCCTCAAGAGCAACATTAAAATCCCTGGGCATCTATACACTTGCAAATAAAAAGAAACAGGGCAGCTATACCCAGAGATTCCGATTGCTGCCATACGCACAAACACACAGGCAGTATGACCAACACTGCAAGCAAAGGCAAACCAGACATCAACAGAATCAAAACCAACCTTGGACATCCCAACAGTCCACCACAAGACGCAATTTTGAAGGTGTGGTCAAGCACATGAAACAACTGCACATTCTAATGCTGGAAATAGATTATTTCCCAACCATTCAGATATTACTTGTCACTGTTTCACCGAGTCTGGCTCAATATTACTACAGACAGGTGAGTTTTGGAAATTATCCAAACTGGTTACTCCATCCCCTTTATCTCCATCCCACCTTCCCTCTCTGTTCCTCTTCAGGGACCCCTCTCATGAGTCACTGCTGCAACAGGAAGTAAACCATCTTCTTCATCTAGGCGCTGAGGAACCTGTACCAATGAAGCACAGAGGGAATGGTTTCTATTCAAAATATTTTCTCACATAAAGACAGGCGGATGGAGACTCACATTGGATGTAAGGAAACTCAACAAATTTGTCAAAACCAGCATTTCAAAGTGGTTACACTAACAACCATAATTCCAGCGTTAGAAAAGTGGAACTGGTTCTCGGCCCTCGAACTGCAGGATGTGTATTTCCACATTACCATTCATCCATTACACAGAAGATTCCTGAGGTTCACCCTAGGGGAACAACACTTCTAATACAAAGTACTACCCTTTGACTGGTTAACCACCCCAATGGTTTTCTCCAAAGTTTTGGTGGTGGTAGCAGTACACCTCTATAGACACGGAGTCTTGATCTTTCCATATTTGGATGATTGCTTCATAAGGGCATCAACATAACAAGAAGCAATAAGTGCCACACAGAGTACAATAACACTTTTCATGAGTTTAGGGTTACAAATAACGCACAAAAGCCCACATTGATTCATGTCCAGAAATTGGAATTCATAGGAGCTTGTTTAGATTGTTCATCAGCAATGCTTCATCACACTTGTCAATTTAATTTTGATGGTAAAGGACAGCTCACAAATATGTGCCAGAACGTATGTACAACTACTGGGACAAGTGTCGGCAACGACATTTGTTGTCAAGCACACCAGACTTCACGTGAGATGCCTGCAGGCCTGGCTTCAAACAGTGTACATGCCACACAGGCATAGCCTAAGCAGATGTCTTATGATGCCACACAGGGTAAAAAAAGACTCCCTAAAATGGTGGACATAACCCAAGAACATCTGAACAGGAGTCCCATTTCCACAAAGGACTGCAACAATGACATTCACTACGGATGCCTCCCTAATAGTTTGGGGAGTGCATCTACTCAACGACACAATCCAAGGCCAGTGGTGTCCATCAGAGTCCAACATGCACATAAACTTGCTGGAGCTAAGGGTAGTCCGTAACGTATGCAACCACTTTCTACCTATAATCAGAAACCAAGCCATCAGAATCCTCACAGACAATATAGTATGCATGATTTACATAAACGGCGGGGGGGGAGGGGGTGGCACAGTTACACTCCCTATGGACAGAGGCAGTGCAGCTCTGGAATTGGTGCATCAGCAACAACATCAACATATCGGCATCCTATCTTCCAAGATGTCAAAACACAACCGCAGATGCCGTAAGCACAGAGTTATCACAGTCATGAATGGGAGATGGATCCCAGAATTTTACGATACTCAAACTGTGGGGATTCCCTCATAGACCTCTTTGCAACAGCACAGGACACCAAGTGCTCACAATATTGCTCCAAAGCAGAACTGGGACATCCATTCCTTACGAGATGCTCTCCTCATCAAATGGGATGCATCGTTAATATATGTATTCCCCCTGACCGCACTCCTAAACTCGCTCATACACAAGATCAAGAGACAAATCCAGAGTCATTCTAATAGCACCTACATGACCCAGACAAACATGGTTTCCGTTCCTGTTAAAGATAGCGGTACGCTCACCTCAAACCCTTCCCCTAATACCTCACCTCTTCTCACAAGATGCGGGGCATGTTCACCATCCTAACCTCATAATACTCCATCTCAAGGCCTGGCTTTTCTCCAAGGCAAAGAGGGGTTGAGACACCCTGTTCATAAATGTAAAGAAGTAAAGTAAAGGAAGTAAAAGACATACTTATGAACAGCCATAGAACGAACATGTCATAAGCATATGGGTAGCCTAAATTCCTCCTTACCTGTAAGGGGTTAAGAAGCTTAAGTAACCTGGTTGGTACCTGACCAAAGGAACTAATGGGGACAAAAGATACTTTTAGATCTGGTGGGGGGGAGAGGTTTTGTTTTGGGTTCTTTGTTTCTGTGGCTGTTCACTCTTGGGACTAAGAGAGACTGGACATCAATCCATATTCTCCAAATCTTTCTAAACAAGTCTCTCATATTTCAAACTTGTAAGTAACAGCCAGGCAAGGTGTATTAATTTATCTTTGTTTTCTCAACTTGTGAATTTTCCCTTTGCTAGAGGGAGGTTTATCCCTGTTTTGTTGTAACTTTGAAACTAAGGCTAGAGGGGGTTTCTTTGTGCTCTTTGAATTTTCTGCTACTCTGTAAGGTTAACTACCAGCCTAAGTTTACAGAGGTGATTCTTTTACCTTTTTCTCTTTAAATAAAATGCTTCTTTTTAAGAACCTGACTGAATTTTCCATTGTTCTAAGACCCAGGGGTTTGGGTCTGTAGTCCCTTTGTAACCAGTTGGTGAGGATATATGCTCAAGCCTTCCCCAGGAAAGGGGGTGTAGGCTTGGGAGAATATTTTGAGGGAATAGGACTCCAAGTGGTCCTTTCCCTGATTATTTGTTAGATCGCTTGGTGGTGGCAGCGATCCCAAGGCAAGAAAGGAATCTGTGCCTTGGGGAAGTTTTAACCTAAGTTGGTAAGAATAAGCTTAGAGGGTCTTTCATGCGGGTACCCACATCTGTAACCCAGAGTTCAGAGTGGGAAAGGAACCCTGACAGAGCACGAGAAAGACGCATATATGCATAAGTGGAAACGGTTCAGCACTTGGTGCCAAGATAAACAGATCTTATCAACATCCTCCCCTTTACCAAGGGTACTGGATTACATATAAAAACTGGCTGTCCACAAGCTCCATCAAGGTACACTTGGTGGTGATCACAGCTTTCCATAATGTGGATGGGGTCACCATATTCACCCACCCAACAACTAAACGTCTCCTCAAGGGCATTGAGAACACTTATCCAGAAATAAGAAACCCACCTTCTACGTGGTAGCTCAACCTCATCTTTCGCGAACTTATGAGAAAACTGTTTGAGCCGCTTGCCACCTGCTCACTACTCCACCTATCTAAGAAGGTGGCTTTCCTCATCGCCATCACATCCGCCAGATGGATGAAGGAACTAGGTACCCTAATGCCTCCCCCGCCCCCCATACACAACTTTTTTTAAAGACAAAGTTACCTTAAGACTACATCCCAAATTCCTACCCAAGGTTGCCTCCCCCTTTCATCTGAATCAGCCCATTTACTTACCTATGTTTTTTCCAAAACCACATGCAGACAAAAGAGAGGCATCACTCCACACACTGGACATTAGAAAAGCATCAGCTTTCTACATTGAAAGAACAAAAGCATTTAGAAAGTCACCAAAACTGTTTGTCTCTATAATACAGGAGTTCTCACACTGGGGGTCGGGACCCATCAGTGGGTTGTGAGGTTATTATATGGGGGATCGCGAGCTGTCAGCATCCACTCCAAACCCCGCTTTGCCTCCCGCATTTATAATGGTGTTAAATATATAAACAAGTGTTTTTAATTTATATGGGGGGGGTCGCACTCAGAGGCTTCCTATGTGAAAGGCGTCACCAGTACAATAATTTAAGAGCCACTTCTATAATAGAACGTTCAATGGATATCAAGATGCATCCACCTTTATCAAAAACTTCGTTTACAAGCCCCAGTGGGCATCCACATACGCTATACCAGAGCACTTTCAGCATCCGTAGCTTTTCTCAATGATGTCCCTGTTATCAACATTTGCAGAGCAGTAACTTGGGCATCAGCCCACTGTGGCATTATACTCCACGTTCTTCACAGAGATATGGTTATGTTATGATTATGGCATAACTAAGATGTGTTTTATGCAAGATGGGTCATGAGATGTCATTGGAAAGATTGATTGATTATCCTATTTGTATGCATGTATCATTTTTGTATCTGAAGTTAGGAATATTGTCTATGCATCTATTACAAATACGTTTACACCTGGGGAATGCCTACTAGGCAGAATGCAATCCGTCTAGGTGTCTCACTGGGAAGGGCCATTAGGGAGAACAGTAGGTCTTAGAAGATGCTAATCACCCACGGAGAAGTCTTCCTGGGGACGTTACAAACAGCCTCTGAATTATGGCTGTAGGGTCATTTGACTAAATCACCTGGTGTTGGACTCATGATAATACTAGTATTTTTCCACTGACCAGAGGTGGGGATCGCTGGAAAACAAAAGATTCCCACCATATGCAAAGAACTATTTAAGAGAGTGACATCATCGTGGGCCACTCTTCACTAACTCTTGCCCAAGAAAGAAGGCTGCTGGAAACACCTGAGAAGCAAGAGACTAAGTTGGGTGGGGAGGGCTGAGCCCAGGCTAGAGGATGTCTGGCCTGTAAAAGGAATATCTGGAGTTTTAAGCTGCAAGCAAGGGCAGCTTACCTTCAAGAATCTCTGCAGTCTGCCTAGACCAACATTTAGGGTGAGAATTTTCTGCTTATAAGCTTAGATTGTGTGTTGGTTTTATTTGCCAGGTAGTCTGCTTTGATCTGTTTGCTATCCCTTATAATCACTTAATTTATCTTGTGTAGTTAATAAACTTACGTTTGTTTTATCTAAAACCAGTGTGTGTAAAAATTCTTACTTGGGGCAGAAAGCTGTGTATATCCCTCTTCACGGTGAGGGAGGGGGTGAATTTCATGAGCTTACACTGTACAGTTCTCTGTGCAGTGCAAGACCGTATAATTCTGGGTTTATCCCCTAGAGAGGGGGTGTGCACTTGGGCAATTCCTTAACTGAGCCTTCTCAGGCAGAGCTAATTTCAGTGTTCGTGTGTTTCTGCAGCTGGGTGCGTCTCTACTTCTGTGCTGGTGAAAGTGTGAGACTGGGAGCGTGTCTGCAGTTGGTCACAGCATTACAGGGTGAAAGGGAGCCCAGGCTGGTGGGTCAGGTGGGCTCAGTGGTATCCCAGTCCCAGGTGGCACCCTGGAGGTGGGGAACCCGTTACACCCACATATTCATGAAATACTGCTATAGAGCAACAGTCAATATCGGATGCTTGCTTTAGACTCGTGTTATCCACCATCAGTAACGCATCTCCAAAGCCCCTCCCTTCCACAGAGGGGCAGTGCTCAACAGTCACCTGAAATGGAGCACCCACAGGGACACTCCGCAAAGAAGAGGTTACTCACCTGGTGCAGTAACTGAAGTTCTTTGAGATGGTTGTCTCTGTGGGTGTTCCACTACCCTTACTCCTTCCCTCTGCTTCGGAGTTTCACATAGATTCTCTGCAGTAGAGAAGGAACCAAGGGGTGATTGATCGTGCAGCGCTATGTAACCACCTGGAGTGGCACGTGACGGCACATGTGCGACCCAACCAGGCACTGCTGCCACAAATCTCCAATTACAAGCTAGGGCGCATAGACACCTAAAGTGGAGCATCCACAAGGATAACCGTCTCGAAGAACCTCAGTTACTGCACCAGATGAGTAACCTTCTCTTAATCATTTTATTAACTCTTTACAAGAGGAATTTCTATAGTGTGTGTGACTGGTTTTGTATTAGCTTGTATCTTAAAAATCTAATTTAGATTGCTGACATTAAGGGTTTTAAATCTGACATTTCTGTTTTTTCCTACTGTGATAGACTCTCCTGGGAAAGTGTGTCTTTCACCTGTAAGATCAACACCAGAGAACTCCAGTGAATCAGGAAAGGAGGAGAGAGGAGATCTGATAAAATTTTACAATGCAGTCTATGTAGGAAGAGTAAAATCATTTGCACTCAAGTATGATGTCACAAACCAGGATCATGTAGTAAGTAACATAATTCTAATTTTGGATATGTCTAATAGTGTGCATGGATGCTTAGTGGTAGTTTTCTTAGTGGTAGTTTTATGACTTTTAGACATAAAATGTCAGCATTTAAAAACTCACACTGTTGCTATCACTGCCCTGTAGATCATAAACTTTGTAGTTTATATATGTCTAAACCCACCCTCTGACACTCAGCATGAAGTGGATCCACCTCATCATCTGATTGTGTTTGTTTCTACATGGTTGCATAAAGAAAATAATCATAGTCTGGGCTATAACATACTACAGCAGCAAGATTGCATGTCTGTCCTGCTAATAGGCTATCCATTGAAATGGAGCAGAAACTGATGAATGGATGCCATATTAATATGGGAAACTGAGTGACATTTAAGTGCCCCTCAGTTCATCCATGTGAAACAGTTGAAAAATAAAATAGTTTCTTTTGTGATTGCCAGGCTGAATACTGAATTGGAATATTAGAATGTAACTGTAACCTGGAACAGAAGGCCCAAAAGGACACACTGATAAAAATGGATGTGCGTTTCATTTATTTATGAAGTTAATTCTTTAATGTGCATCTGGTAAATTCCTACAGGTAAACTGTGTGTGCACCATTTTTTTTTAAGGTGGAAGCCCCTCCACTTTCCCCATTCCCCTACATTAAACAGCAGCCAGTGTCTCCTCGGCGGATATCCCAGCAACACTCTGTTTATGTTTCACCACACAAGAATGGTACCTGCCTGACACCTCAGACTGCTCTACTATACAAGTTTAATGGGAGCCCTTCTAAGGTAAGTTTCAGAGTAGCAGCCGTGTTAGTCTGTATTCACAAAAAGAAAAGGAGTACTTGTGGCACCTTAGAGACGAACAAATTTATTTGAGCATAAGCTTTTGTGAGCTACAGCTCACTTCATCAGATGCATCCGATGAAGTGAGCTGTAGCTCACGAAAGCTTATGCTCAGATAAATTTCTTCGTCTCTAAGGTGCCACAAGTACTCCTTTTCTTCTAAGGTAAGACATTCACATAAGACTTTTAGTGATTGCAAAGCTTAAAGATTTCTCCCTCTTCCAAATTTCTGTCTGGCTTTGGGGTTTTTCATAAGAGAGTGCTGCAAAGACTTTCTTCAAACTGGTCTTGCAGTTCCTGAAGTAAAGGATAAAACACTTAGTGCTTTTCAGATGGAAGGTGCTGTGTTCGTCCAGAGTAGGAATACTGTTTTCAGACCATGTTGAAAACCGAGAGTCATACTGAGTAATTATAGTGGCTTGAATATTTGTTTTTAATTATAAATCTCCTCTTATTGATAGAGTTTGAAGGACATCAACAATATGATAAAACAAGGTGAACACAGGAGTAAGAAGCGAGCAATTACAATTGACAGTGACAGTGAGTCTCCAGCAAAACGACTCTGCCAGGAAAATGATGATGTCTTACTAAAACGTCTTCAGGATGTTGTCAGTGAAAGAGCAAATCACTAACAGCTACAAGGGACTGAAGCCTCCAGAGTTCATCATACCTGGGACACAGTTTTTCCATCTTTCCAGCTGTAGTGTGTGCAGGCAGTTTACTAATGTGTAAAATTGTACTGTCACCTGACTTCAGTAGGAATGCAAAAAGGAAGTGTTAAGGACTGAACTGTGGGGAATTAGAGGCAATGATCACATTAACTTTATTGCTGTCAGGCGTGCTATGAAACTATCTGCTGATTAGCATGTTGAAATGGTTCTTTGAGCCATGTCAGATATTCACCTCTAATCTTCTAGTTTAGTGGTTCTGCTTTGAGCATGAGGGCCAGCTCCTAGTTTCAGTGGTTCTGTTTTTGAAATTGAATTGACTGGATGTAGGAAAGCAGAAGGGGCAATCACTATACTCAGCGTTTGCGGATCTGTTTGCAGGGAAACACCTCAAGTGCCTTTTTGTTTTTACATGAAGATTATAGAATCTTATGCATTACTTTAATGTGGACGGATCAGGAGACAACTTTTGTTTTACTACATTAAGGGTTAGATAAACCCATCTGTTCTTCGTTCTGCATTCTATATTACGTGAAAAAAGTCACCTTTTATGAAAGACTTGATAATGTGATTCGACCAGGGTTAATTTTTGGCTTTTGTAGCTTAGTGTAACTGGTAAAATGCTGTTCTCCAGCTATTTTCAGGATGTCAACTAAAGTGAATGTTGTGACATGGATTAAGTATGTTTCTTATGGTTTGAGACAGAAATCAGCAAGTACAACTGCAGAGGCATAAATTGAATGCACACTTATTCTAGAGTGTTGGGGATATGTTTCTAGGAGCCTCTTCTGAATTCAGCTTCCTCCAGAGCAGTGAATGCTGCCACTGGCAGCAGATCTGAAGCACTCCTTCCTTCTGCACGCAGCCTCTGCAGCACTAAATATTCATAGATACTGTATCTTAACTGAAAAAGGTTCGCGTGTATCAATAATGGTTAAACAGTTCTGGGCTTTGGCCATCAGTTACTGCTGTCACAATGTGTGATGATTCACTTAATGAACTTAAAAATTTCTTTTTTTTAGGATTTTTATATTTTTTTCTGACCCATGTACCCTCCTATGTTGTGTAGTATCTACACAGATTGTAAGCCCGAACAGATGAGGCATGTTTGTACATTTTTTTTTGTAGCTATTACAGACGTGTAGCTTTAGATTTGTTCCAATGGCAATGTGTAAAATTCCAGCAAAACTCCTACATCTTAAATGTTAGAGAGAATTTTGATAGGATTGTTTTATCAAGATGAAGAAAACTTAATGTTTATATAATACTGTTTATAAGCAGTAGTCTAATTTTAACAGTTGAGATTTTTTTTAAAGCTTAGAGCCATAAGGTAATTCTGTGTTGTACTTTTCTGTTCAAAGTTGCTATAAGCATCTTATACTTATAAACTTGAACTGTCTTTTTAATGGACAACTCTTTTCTAGAGCTCTGACTATTTTACTTAGCTTTTATTAGCTTGGTTATTGAGCGCGCCAGGATTTGATGCATCATAATTTTCAGTGGAAGGAAGAAGTTATGTCACATGTTACAGTCTCACTGAATTAATCTGGTAACAGAACTGGAAATCTGGTGGATGAAATTGATTATAAAGGAGAGCACTTTGGTTTACATATTCACCTTGGTAATCAGCAGTAAAGGGAAAGTTCACAAGTCCCGTAAGGTTTTGATTAACTTTTTGAAGGCTGCCATTGTTTTGACTGCTCTGAAAAACGTATTTTGCCTTTTGAAAATGAAGACTGCAGTCTTATAAAGTGGCATAACAAAAGATATACTAATCTTAGCTCAGATTACAGTTAACTCCTTTTAAATATGTGATAACGTTAACAGTTGAAAAAACACATAATACCAACTTCCAGTCTTGAGTTACTGACAAGATGCATTTGTGCATAGGTAATCATGGTCCTGAGCACAGCCCTGGAAAACCTACCTTATTGTGGAAAGAGATCTTGAATTAGACTTCACGTAAATGGAGCCAGTTGTGCTTGAATCTCTGCATGAGGGTTATATTCCTCAAGAAAACTAGGCTAGGATAGTCTGTTGGACAGTAAAGCTGTCACTCAGCAGTATTGGATGATGCAATAATTTAGTCACTTGGTTTTAATTTCTCATCATGTGTAAACCTATTTTATTTCTTAAGAGGTATGCCCTGCAGACTGTTTCAGTTTCTCTGATCTTGAATTAAAATAATGGTTCTGAAATTTGTTTGTTATGATTAGGTTTAGTGTTTTTTATTAAAACTTAAAGTATTAGTTGGATTTTTAATTCCTTTTCATAATAAATTTGACCCAGAATAGATGCTAATGTTGATAGAGCAAAGTAAATTTTCGACGTGAACAGTTTGCCAAGCTGTTAGGTTTTAAAGTTTTGTTATGGTTTAAAAGTGCCTTCATTTGTAAATATGTATTTTACCATAAAAAGTTCTTTAAAACTGTGTGATGACTGACATTGTCTGTCTATCTAGTAATTTACACCTGCTTTCCAGAGTCTAATTATATCTCTGTGACAAATAGGTAAATGTTCAGGTTCCTCTGTATGCAGTTATCTCTCCAGATTTTCTTTCCATATTTTTCCAGATTGCTTGTACTTCAGTCAATAAATGTACCATCTCAAAGAGCAAGTATAATGCTCCTGTCTGAGTGACAGAGAGAAACTAAGGTTTCAGAGGAACAGCCGTGTTAGTCTGTATTCGCAAAAAGAAAAGGGGTACTTGTGGCACCTTAGAGACTAACCAATTTATTTGAGCATGAGCTTTCGTGAGCTCACGAAAGCTCATGCTCAAATAAATTGGTTAGTCTCTAAGGTGCCACAAGTACTCCTTTTCTTTTAGAGAGAAACTAAGTTTAAGACAGTTGATGGAACAAAATGGACACCGTGTAGAATCAAGCACGTGGGTTTATTACACACAGCACTGGTGGAGTGTCACCTTGCTTATTGGGCTCAGAGACACTGCCAATCAATTGATTACAGTGGATTATATGGATTTTCCGTGGGCGGAGGAAAGTAACTAGGTCTAGCAGCAAGACAAGATAAGCACAGTAGCCAATAGTCAAAGATTACATAACCACAATTTGAGGACTTCAATAGCTCAGACATAGGTTAGAGGTTTGTTACAGGAGTGGGTGGGTGAGATTCTGTGGCCTGCATTGTGCAGGAGGTCAGACTAGATGATCATAATGGTCCCTTCTGACCTTAAAGTCTATGATTCTATGTAATCATGGTTTCAAGTTAACAAGTAACGTACAATTAGTACTTCAAACAGTGTATAAGTGTATTAGTATAAAATATATATGTTGAATTCTGA